AGGTGGGTCTCGAACCTGCAGGCTCAGGCAATCCACTCACCTCAGCCTCCCAAAGTGCTGGGATTACAGACTGAGCCACCGAGCCCAGCTTAGTGTACTTATTTTTAAATGACTTTTACTAAGACACATTTTAAAGACTCACTCAACAGCTTTGGTATCGTTTAAATTTTGAAGTGATTATTTACACATAGAATTTTTAACTTATATTCTATCATTCCTAGAACATGGTAATTGAAATTATGCAGGTGTTAACTAAATAGAACATATATTTCTTCACAAAGTATAAACCTAAACAATAGTCTGTTGGGTTATTCATACCAATAATCAAATATTTGAAATAAGAACTTGTTAATTATTTTGCATATTTGTTTTTTGTTTTTACACAAAATGTCAATTCAGGTGGTATTCTGAACATTCTTTAAGTTAAATAGGAAGACATTTAACTCCCTTTCCCTTTCAAATCCCCGTTCAGAAAAAAGTTTCATGATACCTTGTAGTAAAATCTGTAACAGTGTTGGCAATTAGGAATTCCACCTGTCGGAAACTTGAAGGAAGCTTGTAGTCTGTTCTATAATAAAGATTGAATGCAAAAGAAAAGTGTCCTTAGGAAATAAGGGTATGGGGGAGAGACTTCCTTTCATCCTCAACAGAACTCCTCCAACAGCCTCTCTCCATGACAAGTGTCAGCACCAGCAAAACTCCAAGACCTGTAGCTCCAAGTGGCAAGTGATGAGAACACTGGTGTGGCGGGGGAGCTTCAGGAAAAACAAGGTCCAGATGGCCTCCCAACGGCCTAAATAATTCACCAGGCACGGGTTCCAGTGATGAGGTGTCTCCATGCCCCTCTCTAGTGTGTGCTTGGTACAGATGGCCTGCCAAGTAGAGTGGAGGTACATGCATAGCTGGATCCCAGCGGCATTCGTTATGCCAGGTAGAGAAGGGGAGGACTTTCCAAGCTGGTTGTCAGGTGCAGAACCAACCCAAATGGAAGTTTTGAGGCTTATCTCTGATAGTTAAGTTTTATTTCCATTTTCCTCTCTCTCCCCCTCTCTCCCTATCTCCATCTCTCTCTCCCTCTCTCCTCCCCTAATCTGCCTGCTTTTGGTAGGATTCTGGATCTCTGGTTAAGAAAAGTAAAGCCACACCCGGTCTCAATTGGGCAAGAAAGATTTGAGCAGAAACCCACACATGATCTGAAGAATTCATTACGTTAAATACTAAGACAAATGTCTTCTCATCAAATATTTACATAGAGGAAAAAAGTAATCGCACATGAAAAATTAGTGATTAGTTAAGGAAAAAATCAGGAATAGAAAAGGGGGGGCTTAATGTGTCATCTCAATGAGAATTGAAGAAATTTGCATATTTGTTTGAACTGGGTGCGTTAGGATAGTGAATGGAAGGTGGAAGGTCCCTGACTTCTGCGATGTTGAGGAGGAGGAGTTGTGCTGGCCAGGGATGGAGTTGTGTTTCAGTCTTGGGGGGAAAGGTCCGGGCAGGTGGGACAGGGAGAATGGAGAGGGAGGGAGAAGACAAAGTAAGGGATCCCAGTGGCTCTCCTCAGCACCTCTGGCTCAAGCCTGTAATCCCAGCACTTCTGGGAGGCCAAGGCAAGAGGATTGCCTGAGCTCAGGGGTTCGAGGCCAGCTTGGGTTACATGACGAGACCTCGTCTCTACAATAAATCAAAAACTTAACCAGGCGTGGTGACACATGCCTGTGGTTCCGGTTACTTGGAAGGCTGAGGCAGAAGGATCACCTGAGCCCAGCAGGTTGAGGCCGCGGTGGTCGGGAGAGTGTCACTGCACTCCAGCCTGGGTGACAGAGTAAAGACTCCCACCAAAAAAAAAAAAAAGTAAAGACAAGGGGGCGGGGGAAGTACCAGGCATAGAAGGTTCAATTGTTGGAAAATCACTGAGCTCCAGGCACCCAATTAGCTACTCTCTACAGCTTAGGTATTTTAAGTTTCAACTTAATTTAGACTCAAAAAGAGCTACTATAGTTTTGGGGTAATTAGAAAAAAAACTTAATAGACAATTCTTACCATCATTTAAGGACAGACTATTTTGGGGGTTTGTTTTTGTTTTTGTTTTTTTGAGTTGGAGCCTCACTCTGTCGCCCAGACTGGAGTGCAGTGGCCACTC